TACGCCGCGAACCGCGCAGACCAGACGTTTGGAGCGGAGCAGGATTCACTCGCTACCTATGCTATCGACCCTGTCACTGGGGCCATATCGTGGGTCGAGGCTACGGATGCTCATGCGTGGTTCCCGAGGACGTTTGATATTAATTCTGAGGGCACGCTTGTCGCGGTCGGAGGCCAGACTAGTAGTAATGTTGCCATCATTTCTAGAGATCCGGCTACGGGGAAACTGGGGGATATGGTCGCCAACTTGCCTGTTGGTACGCCTGGGCAGGAACAGCAGGAGGATGGGCTTAGTGCGGTTATTTGGGTTGAGTAGGTGCTTGCGTTGTCTGTAGGAGGCAAGGGAGTTGGGATTGGGGATGGGCTTCCTGTATATATATACTATTTATTGTTACTAAATACGAATCGCATACATGCGTATCGTCCCACGTCTCTGCAGCGCTGCCATCACTACGGTATCCAACAGCTCAGCCATGTACGACGCTTCCAAAAAAAAAAAAAAAGTGAAGCTGAACCATTCTGAACCCTCTCGCGCAGCCGCAACCAATGTTGAATTAGCCGACAACCGCACGGAAAGCCCGCCTCAGTGCTGGCGCAGCGGATCGAACACCGTTCCTAAGGTAGCCAACCCCGTAATAGGACGCTCGCACCACTGCGCCAGCCCTGCTTCACTGCTGTTGGGTTAGGGGTCGATTATTGGGAGCTATGTAGCTAAGCTATGGACTGGGAGCTATGGACTGGGAAGGTGCGAGGGGTGGTGGTTGCCTTGCTGCCTGGGTGGGTAGGTAGGTAGGTAGGTAGGTATATGCGCAGTTGACTTCAATGATGGCTTGGATCTTGCCAAGAGGGTCTTTTTCTGTCCTTGTTGATTAACAGGTAGGTATTACGGACCATCATGCTGAGTTTTGGTCTTTATGAAGGTCGTTGGGTAACGTAAGGTATTTCACACAACCCCTTTCTACTCACTCTGAGCCTTGCCAACAATGACACCCACCACCTACTGTGTTGAACCAATCTCGCCTACATGTGATAGCTAATATACACTCAACATTCAAAAAGTGAAACATTCCCATGTTTTCTTCGTATTCCTGTTTGATATCTCCCCTCTTCAGTCGTCCCTCCTCTCCCCCATTTCGTTACGTCTCACTTATGAGTTCCACGTTCTCGGATACTAAGCACATGTCTCATCAAACCTATAACAGAGCTTGCACTGGAACCGCAGGACTGTTCGCTACAAGAGATATCGCGCAATAGAATGCTATTCCCAAACTCCATGGCCTAGTTCTTTTCAGCCCTGCCCGCCGTCTGTAGTGTATACTTCGTATCTACGATGTAACTCATAAGTCGTAGGATCATCAAATGCATGCTCAGCGACCTTTCTATCTGCTTCCCCAATTACCACTCACCCCATTTTCCGCCCCGTCAGCAATACCCTGCCTGCTCACCATCCCATCCCATCCTGAACTCCAAACCTGACACCCTCAAACCCCTCAAGCGATCCCAGCCCCATCATGTCCGCTCAAACCGTCCCACTAATGCTCAACTCCCGAATCTCCTGCAGCACCTGCTCGACCCTCTGATCCAGCTGCCCCTGCGCATACTGATCCCTGGTATCAGCGTCGAGATACTGCTGAACCTGCGCCATGCGGCTGTACGCCTCGGCGCAAAACCGGAGTTGGATCTTGACGAGGGCTTCGAAGGAGGGATCGAGGTAGGGCACGCGCATGTCGATGAGTTGGGGCAGTTCGTCCGAGAGCTGCGTGTTGAGCTGCTCGTAGGCGGCTTTGGCCATGTCCATTTCCTTTTCCGTGCGCGGGAGCTTGGTGACGTCCTTGTCGGGCTTCTCGGCGAGCTTCTTTACTTTTGCGCGCAGGGCGTCGTAGTCTAGCAGTTTGTGGCCGCGCTTTTTGATGCCTGGTCTTTCGTTAGTGTGTGGAAAGGGATAGGTGGGAGAATATCGTACATTCGTTGACGTCGGGGAAGTAGGCGCAGAATCGCGAGATGGGTTCTAGCACGGTGGTTCTGTATCCGAGTCAGTTTCAGGAATGATCCTCGACGTGTTCGTGCCATCGCAGATGAGCGTACCTGTAGGGACCATCGAGGGCCTTAATGGTCTCGGCGTCGAGGTCCTCGACTGCCTGCTTGTAACTCCTGCTCACGCCGTCCTTGGCGCCCGAGTCTCCGTAGAAGGCGTCTATCGTCTCGGCGATGCGCATCTGCGAGGCCGTCATGGCTGTGATGTGTCAGTCGGTGTCGCTGGTTCATACTTCGACATGACCAGTAGTACCTCGTAGGGAATCCAAGTACCCTCTCGCCTCTTTCTGCAGTCTGAGCGCAGCGGCCTCCATGGTTCGAAAGCGTCTCTCTTCGACCTCGTAGTCGCGGTCGTTGGTCTTTTCGACATGACCCGTCTTCATCATAACCTGGGTCGTGGCCCGGTTGACATTCTTCTTGAAGCCTGCCCACGACATGCTTGCGTTGTGGATGTGGCGTCGCGGCTTCGTAGGAGTGTTCTCTCAATCTTGGGTCTCAGTTTGTCGCCGACAGAGGTGAAGATGGAGATGCGTGGGGCGTAGGATGTTGGAAGAAGTTGGGGGTTCGCAATCTGTTGGGTTGATGGGTTCGGACAGAGTGGGATTGAGTCGTGCGGGAGCGCAATATGGTGCAGCGAAACGGCAGAATAGTACTGATAATGGTAGTAGTAATGGGTAGCTGATTTGACAACAACCTTGACAGTTGGATGTGACGAAGTGACCTATCTTGTTGGCGGCGGTGTCACGGGCTCCTGATGTTGGCACTGCAGGTGCGCATTCACCTGTGCGAGTGTGTGGCTTGGGCTGCGACAGGCTGCCAGGCCTTCCCATCGATGTTGAATCCAATAGGGCAGAAAAAGAGCGACGTCAGCGAGGGGCTGCGCCCGACACTAAGATCTACGCTAGGCTAAGAGCAGCAATGTTAGACCTCAGTCGGGAACGCTGCACTTCCATACTCCCCTGTCAGGATCTGCGCAAGCCACAACGACAGTCATGCCGGGCCCTGCCCCTGACAGCCACGGACCGGAGTTTGTGTTAAAGCGTGGCTGACTAGAGAATTGGAAGAGTCACCGGCCGACGATAGCTTCAATGTTAGGTAGCTAGCCAAAGTTTTTGTACAAAGGCACGATGCGCTTAAACAGGTGCCTTTGAGCAAGCTTTGGCTGCCCTAAGACATATAATATGGTGGTCGCGTCCAGCTCAGGTTCCCATTTTCTCTTTGCCTTTCATTTCCATTTCGACCCATAGATCACTCGATTCCACTGTGCGACGGCATCTCGTCTCACCACATCTGAACATTCGCTGTCTTCACAGGTAATCTTCGCAAGGCGCCTGACATTTTGTTTATACTTATTACCTTCGCAAAGTCACCCCTGCACCCTCGACTAGTCATCCCAACCGCCAGCCCGACGGCACTCGGCAGCATGGCTCCCATCCTCAACGCCCTCAAAACGACCCCTCGGTGCCTCATCATCAGTCTCGGCAACCAGGCACCCTACTACAACACTCTGCACTCCGCTGGCCATCATGCCCTCAACGCCGCTGTCAAGCACATCCGCAACCAGCCCGCCTTCACGCGCCTGGCATGGGGCAAAACCAAGTGTCTTGTCTCCCAGGGCGACAACTACACCTTCATCCAGAGCCCCACCGCCATGAACGTCTCAGGGCCCTTCGTCAAGAAGGCTTGGGATAACTTCAACCAGCTGCATCGAGACGTCGAGCCCACCAACCTGCGTTTGGTCATTGTGTACGACGAGATGGAGAGGGCCTTCGGCGCCGTCAAGCTCATCGACTGGAACCGGAGCGCTCGCGGCCACAACGGCCTCAAGAGCATCAACTCCTCGTTGCCAAGCACCGCCGCAAACGGCCACTTCTACCGTCTCGGCATCGGCATCGATCGCCCTGTTTCCCGCGACGCTAATGTCGTCTCGAAATACGTCCTCGGACCCTTCACCCACGAGCGCCAGGAGATCCTCGACTCTCAAGTCGGCCCCGAAGTCGCAAAAATGCTGGAAGATATGACCAGCGTATGGCAGCGATTCGTAGACATGCCTCAGGCCAATATCTTTGAGACGATCGACAAAGACCGCATAGAAGCAAAGAAGGCGGCCATAGAAGAAGCCGCAAGAGCGAAAAAAGCCGCAAAGAAGAAAGCATGGGAGGCGAAGAGGGCAGCCAACCAAGTCGGGGACGCAAGCGGGCAGAGAGTAGCTGAAGAGATGGGCGAGTTGGGAGCAAAGTGAGCAGCGGCGCAAGAAGGTAGTCCGAAGCCCAGGAATCGGGCAGAAGCTATTCAAGCGACTGCGGTCGCAGATATCAAGATTTTTGCAACAGCCAACCGAACTCGAGCAAGCTGCGCGCAAGTGACAGCAACAGCGACACATGATCGAAGCGAAGACGAAATCAAACGGATCTCATCGACGGATGCGCAACCTAGGGTCGATGGTTGACGGGGAGACGGAGCCAAAACACGCTTGACAGAAGAGCAGCATGTTCGCATACGCCTCTGTTAGCAGCATGCCACGATTGAATGATCATCGAGGGGCCGTGACACATTTGCCATGTACAACAAGCGAGGCGTTTTTGATTTACGGTCATGCATTTTTTGTACACCACAAGAGGCTCATGGCAATTTTAGAGCATTTTCGACATGGAAAAGTGTACAACCTTCTAGATTAGACTAAATGATACCCCCATTGCAAATAGTGTCGTTTATTTCGGTGGAAGGAAGGAAATGACATTGATGACACGTCTATGAGCGAGAAGACGATTAATCGAGTTGAATCGACAGGTTGCTCGAGTTTGAAATCACTGCCCATGACATTCGCCAACCCTCATGGGAAACAATTACTTAATTTGCGCATTCTTCGTAGTCATCGCTCCACTAGCCGCCGAGTGGTGCAAACATTTCGGCCGCTCACTACTAAAGCTATATACTATTTCATAAGTACAATGCCAATAACAATCAGGTGTTGTCGTATAGTGGTTAGTACACTTCGTTGTGGCCGAAGAAACATGAGTTCGATTCTCATCAACGCCATCTTTTTGAGTTTTTTCTTCCTCTCATCATCCTATCATAGATGTTGCATTAGATACTAGTCAATTACTTAATTACCTATATATACAAAATACTACAGCTTTCATTATAACTCTCTACTTCATCTTATCCTCGTAAGCTTAAACCAGGGAAGTTGGGGATTGCAGCTATTTCGTATTTCGCACCAGAATATGATATATCTTGCTCCTCGGAAAACTCTGTGCGGGAAACCAAACGAGTCTACAATTCAGGTACTGAGACTAACTCCCCTACCTGCCTAGAAATATCTCTCTTTGCCATCTCTGCGTCCTCATCGCGGCAGTGAACTCAGTCTCTTAATCAACTACTTCGAGATGACCACCATAACATCATCCTTCATGACTAGCTGACTAGTTACAACAGAAGGACTATGCAGCATGTCACACGGGTAAAGTCGGTACCAATGGACTTGTGTCAACCACCTGCTGCGCCATCCTTGAAAGTATCCCAGCCAACCAAGGCTAACCAAGGTCCATTTTACAACTTCATTAATCTTTTCTAATAACCTCAAACAACCAATGGCGTATTAATTACCCAACACCGACGATTCGCACAAAGCATACAGAAATATCAATAACAATCAACCTCCCCACAAGTCGTAAACCTCACAAGCCTCTTCACCCTCCACCCAAAGCATCTCATCTTCCCCAAAGTCTCACCATGCAGATAGCGATGCGTCGAGTTCCGAACATGGACCTCATCCAGACAAGGCATCTTCCTAAGCTGCCCATCAATCTCCTCCAACGCGTCCGCCATCACGTCGGCGCCTAGATACTCCCCAACAACCAACCCGCGCCCGGAATGAATCGGCAAGTACAGCTCTCTAAGCCCGGTGCATTTCTCCCGGAGTAAAAGTATACTGCGCTGTCCATCATCCCTCAGTCTCGACGCGCGGCTCCAGGGGACGCTGGCTAGTATCTTGGTGAGCCAGCTGTTGCCTTCACTGAGCGCTGGGAACGAGATAGTAATGCGCGCTAACTGCCTCGCGATATTATCCCCAATGCGGTCGAGCAGCCTTTCCAATATGACTACCTGATGCCGCGTGACATCGCTGAATCTCCAGTGGCACAGACTGAAATGGATAGAACTGTACAGAATTGCGCTGTATTCCGCGTGAATCTGTCGGTTGACGTATAGAAGCGTTGTGGGACTGGGGAGGCCTCTAGGTGTCCAGAAAGCCAGTTTACCGGCTGACTTTATTTGAAATACGCCGATTTCGAATGGACCCTCTATGAGATGTTCGTATATTTCATTGCGGATTGGGAGGGGGAGCGTTAGCAATGGCACTGGCTGCTGTTTTTCATTCATTCTCGAGTCGACTACTCGAAATGTGCTTGGCATTGCGTGATATCATTTTTTGGGTGTTTGAATGCGGAGTTGAACAACAACATCATGTGGTTGTTGATGCAGACATTTGAGGTGGGGTTAAACTTCGGGTAATCGTGCTGCGCCCTGTATTATTTCGTAGCTCAGCCTTGTCAGCATCATCATTAAGTTAATCTGGTGAGACTCTCCGACTCCCTGCCTGGTCTGCGATAGTGAAGATGCAAGAATATGCGTTTGCCCAAAAATGCCGAGAGGACAGGGAGCCGATAAGCTAATCTGCTTCCAATCGTCCATAAGATGTGTCCAGGGTCTTCATACATGAGAGATGTTCACGATCTGACAGATCGCGGGCGGAGGGAATGTGGGTTGGTGAATGTTTGGCGGATGATACGTCGAGGGCCACGAGGTGTACTGGTAGAAATGGTGACGGGTCTGGGTGACACTTAGTAGACCTATTGATAAAAATCAAGGGTAAATATTGAGCCTCAGAAACACACCAGATATCCTACAGTCCCATACCAAGGTGCTTTCCAGAGAGGAGCCAAGATACTAAATAGAGACTATCATCAAACTACTTTATAGTTGGCATAGAAGACGAGCTTCGAGGCCAAACTTGCGATGCGAGTTACTCTATATGTAGTACGAGGGCCAGACGTTTAACGTCCGTCCGTACCTCACACCCTTCTACTTAGCAACGATGATTAAATCATCTCCTCCTTACCCCTTGCCCCCCTGAGGTAACTTGATAGACGTAAGCCTCCATGGTTCCGTTCCGTCCCTCACAACCTCGGGAATCTTCCCCTCGGCCGGTAGCTCAGCCATACTATATTCGGTAGCCATCCGATGCACAACTTTCATCACCCTATCACCAGACAACTCTGCCTTTTCGGAGCGATTCTGAGTGCTCCATTGCTCTCTTCGATAGCGCCACATACCGACAATGAGTATGACGAACACTAGTAGACCTCCCACGACGGCCCCGCAACCCTGGCTTTGCTTCACTGTCGATTACGCTTCCGAGTGCCGCGTCGCTGGAAGAATGTGGATATGGATAAGGCGTGACGGAAGGATGAATAGGAAAACCATACTGTACGCAGCGTCGCTAGCCATGACAAATTCGCTTGTACTTGTGGTGCTAGCCGTAATCACTGTGGCATCACCATCAAGCGTCGACGTCGTAACCCGTTGCTTCCGCTCGTTACAGTGCACTTTGACTCCGACTCAATGTCGACCCAACTCGAATCGTCGGCGTACTCATACTCGGTCCTGCTCGGGCTCGGTATGCTGGGTGATTCATTTCAACTGATTGTTGAAGTAGTTCTCGATGAATCTAACGTCGAATTGTGGAGCGTAACGCAATGCCGTTGAAACGCCCACCAACGCCATAATACACAGCAAGCTGGCCGGCAGGAAATTTGCCGAATTGGTGGTACACAGGAAGATTCCCCAATCTGTCTGTTTTGCCAGCTGGATGTTCCCGTGTTTCTAGACGGGCAAATGTTCTGATTTATGTTTTAATGATTTGACGGACGCTACTTGACCCGCGATGTCTGGAAACGGACGGCTGGAAGTTAAAAAAACAACCGACAACCTGACACCCACCTCTGCACATGTTTACAGAGTGGTAGACTGAGAAGGGTAGAATGAACTATCAGCTGGGGGCATTTTCTGCAAGACGAGAGAACATTGGAAGCCGCACGGAGTCACCCAAAGGATCAACACTCACAGGTATGACTTGGACCTGACTACCTAGGTAGGCATGCCGAGGGCGCTGGTCTGCAGGCTCGCAGGGCTCACAACGAGGCCAGGTACCCGACTAGAACGGCACGACGGGGATCACGGTCGAACGCCAGTCAAAACCAATCAAAGACTTGGGGGTGCTCCATTCGATGGATGGCCAATGCGAAGGAGGGTCCGGCAATTATGCCGCAAACATCTCGAACAAATCTTGTGACTTTGTCGACAGCAAGAGCCCCCCAGATGATTTAGATTCTCCAGAAGTGACATGACCAGCGAAGCCCTGTGGCTCAGGGTACTATTTACCACGAATGCGTGCCTGCTCAATTGTGGAGTGTAACGCTTTCGTCGGGCTTTGCGAAGAGTGAAGTGGTCTATCCGGCGCAGTAAGTATTATGGCGGTAGCTCCTCAAACACAGCTTGAGCGACGTGTGAAGTAAATTGCGGAACTCGCCAGTGATCCGATTGCAACCAACCGATGGAACATTCGAGTTCAACTTGAAGTTTGATATTGCATCGATATTGTGCGATAGATCCATCGTCGCCGAGAGGCATTCTGCTGCCTGGTGCAGGGGGCATGAACCCGAACGAACAATGCCACGGTAGCGTGACTTGTGAATAGCCTCGGCGACATTCGTGGTATTGAGAGCGAGTATCTCAGCGAGAAGTTGAAGCGGAAGAGATAGTGCCTTGGTGACTAAACTGTGGCTTGCTGACGTTGCCCAAACCCAAGCATGACAGCAACACAGTCAGCTCGCCATCGAGGGCCGTTGCCGAAGCAGGTATAGCTCTCGGCGAGATTCTTGACTACGCGAAGTTTCGAGGTCAGTGAAACGGCGTAAACAAGGTAGAGATGTGAAAGAAAGCGAATATTGTGCTCAAGAGGGGACAAAGAAGGTGAACTCACTCAATAACTTGATAATCTTATACGCCTCAAGATCCAACTCCTGCGTATGTTCAAGCGGGCATGCGGTGGCCGTGCGCACCATGAATTTATTCAGCCGTGAAAAAGCTTCTGTGCCAAGCTGACGTTGTAGATACGCCTCGATCTTGGGTACGTCCAGCCAACTCTCCATATCCTCACTTCGAGCTGCAAAATCTTGCTCGACAGCTTGTGCAAGCTGCTGGCTAGGGTCTGCCGCAAGAAGACTATTGCCCAACACGTAGCCATGATCTCGGAACTCGGTATGCGCTTCGACGAGGGCCTGGGCAAGCCGGACGTTGGTGAGGCGTGGACTGTGCTGTAGGCGCTGGAAAACACGTTGTTCTGCCTCGCGCGCGTCGGGTCGAGTTGACGGGGCGTCACGAAACCATGGAGATGGTGCAGAAGGCATTGTGATGATTCGACAGAGATTCACCATGTAGTCCGCGCAAGCCCAGTATAGCTGCCCTGCGAAGGTATGTTGTCCTTCCCCGATGTAGGCTGCAATATCCTGCGGGGGCTTGCAGATGTTGACTGCGCGAGTCGCGTCTAGCCAAATGCCATAGTCCAGGCGTGGGCTCAGCGGCCGTGAAGGAGCTGATGTCATGATAGATGAAGCCTCTACAGAGAGACACGCGGCAGAATTATTTGTACATGCCTTTTCCGCAATTATATGCATTGAATCCAGCGGCACGACATCATTCGACTCCCGAGCATTACATGCCCTTTCTGGTGTAGCCATGTGGGCGACAGGGTCAGTGTCTTGGACCTGATCATTGAAACCAGAAGCATCAACTCCAGCTATGCTTGCGGCAGCACGAACAGCCTCAATCAGGGCCAGTCGGTCACTCGACTGCGTCTTTTTCACAATCTGAGCAATGGCGTCTTTGAGACGCTGATTCTCATCGCGCATTTCATTCGACACCTGGGCTTGCCGTTTACGAAAGCGTGCCTGGGATAGTCTACCACGCTCGCGCCG